CATCCGGAATTTATTGAAAAGTACAGAATTTTGAAGCGTTTCATAATGTATCCCATCGAGATAAGTTGAGCATATCCCCGGAGAGCAATGTGGAAATCAAAGTGAATAACATTTGAACAGTTTATTGGATCGGCCACTGCTCTCACTATACAAGATTCACTGGTAAACAGCGAATGCATCAGAATAGTTTTCAGTTTGGCTATTCAAAATTTTTTTTCCTTTTTCGAGATTACCGAATTTTTGTTCAGACTAAAGTCGATATGTTGATTGAGAATGCTAATCGACGTTCTGTATTCGGCTACCGATGTCCCTGACGCAGTGCTTGACTAGTGAGAACATGGGGAGTGCAATGACGAGATCCACCGTCGTTTGTTGGGTGTGGATAGTTGTTCCCTAACAGAAGTAATCACCCTACACCGCCTCCGATGGCTTGGTCACGTATTGCGTATACCTGTCACTCGGTGACCTTTCCGTGCTCTCTTTGCATGTGCCGGGCGAGGCTGGAGGAAGCGCCGTAGCGGTCAGACCATTGCATGGCGTAGAGGTATGAAGAAGCTGGCTTCAGCTTTGGCTTTGGTTGGTGCATTCCATTTTCCTGGTTGGAACCAAATGGATGAGGATTGTCATGGGGTAGAAACGCTGAGAGATGTGATCCAATTGAGAAGTCAGTGGCGCAAATGCTGTACGGTTTGCCTGTTGAAATGTACTTCCTCGTAGAAAAATAAACGATAAACCAACACATACAAAAGGATATTATAAAGTGTGCAGTGAAATTAATAAAAAGTTGTTATTTTCGTCATTCAGCTTAACTGTCTGATCCACGTTTCCTCCGCGATGAATCCCAATCCCTCAGGTTCTTGTTGCGGCGTTGGCACCATGCTTGTTCACAAGCCCATGGTATGTGTTTACGTCACCAGGTGGGTGAACATACCCCAAATTGGGTTCGAAGTCAGAAGACGCAGTGGAGGTCGAGTCCACTGCATAGGAACAACAGTTGAAACTGCAAGACACCGTCATTAGGCATAGCTCGATATATTCTGATAACACAAAATTGAATCGAAAAAAGCATTGTATTTCCTGCTGTTTGCATGATGGTTAGATGCAGCGATGTGACTTTTTTCTTTTTGCAGCTCGGGGGGGGGAGTGGATTTGGGACAAATAAGTCTCCAAAAATCCTTGCGTGGATTTTGTATGTCAGTCAGTCAGGTGTGGTGGGTTAGAAGCGCGTCTAACCTAAGCCAACTCGGTGCTAAGGTTCATTTTCAGTATTTTTAGGATGACTATTATGTAAATGACTGGACGAAATTTCCCAGAAGCACACGATCGGTTTTTGCGGTCCTTGCACCGTCTATTCAATACACGTCATGAACACTTCATGTTGTCTGGATACTTCTGGTAATGGTACTCGTTTGGCTTCCCGAGCCAGCATTTTCTAAACATTAGGAGAAAATGCTTTCAGAGGCGCGCGTTCCGCGTCACCACCAATCACCTGTTTCCTCGGTTTATGTGACTGCATGCGAAAATACATTTGCAGCTCAGAGATTTGCATTTCATAGTTCACATCGGAAGTTCAATTATAAGAATGATCAGACAGAAGATTTACAGATGCGCGCACCCGATGAGCAGCATGAACCCGAAACCGGTCGTGTGCTTTTGGGAAATTTTATCCATTCATTCTGAACTTGGTGTTTCACAAGGTTCCATACTTTCGCCTACCCTCTTTCTCTTATTTATTAACTATCTTTTATTCCAAGCATATAATCCTTTTCACTGCTTTGCCGATGATGCCACTCTCTATTGTTCTCGTTCTTACCCCAAACTCCGTCAAGCTAATACCAACATTGATCACAATCGTAACGTCATTAGTGCTTCCCTTGCCTCCGATCTCGGACTAATCTCCGCATGGAGTTCTACCAGTCATGTGTGTTTTAGTGCTTCCAAAACTTCTCTCCTTTCAGTCTCCCTTAAACATTTCTCCTTTTCTCCTCAATTGACTTTGATTATTTGCCCCTTCGTTCCTCAAATTCTCTCTTCCTCCTGTGTTTCTCCATAAATTTTTCTCTCTGTTGGTCCCATTTTATCTCTATACTTGCTTCTCGCGCTACGCGCAAAGTTGGTTTTCTATCCCGTGCAAAGCGTTTCTTTGCACTCAAGCACCTTCTTCTTTTATACAAAGCTCAAATCCGCTCGATGCTTGAATACTGCAGTCACATATGGGGTGGAGCTTCGTATTCCGCTCTTTCTCTCCTCGACCGTGTTCAACGTAAGGCCATCCGGCAGGTCGACGAACTATCTTTAACTTCCAACTTGTAGTCGCTTTCCCATCGCCGGGCAGTTGCTTCGTTATCTCTTTTCTATCGTTCCTATTTTGGTTTCTGCTCTTCCGAACTCCCTTCAGCGATTCCCTTCCACTGGCCTCTCGTCCACCTCACTCTCAGGCGACCAGTCACTCTTATCAGGTTTCTGTTCCCAGAGGTCGGACTTCTATCTTTCAATCTTTTTCTTTCCCGAAGACTGCGAAATTTCGGAACACTCTTCCCATTTCCGTGTTTCCCAGCTCTTAGAACCTTATCCTTTTCAAAAGCAGGATTAAAAAATTTTGGCCTAACTTGAATTTTCCTCAACATACCTCTCCCTTACAGTATATCATTGATTATGGAGTTTACCCCTTTTGCTGTAAATCCTTTCGTGTGTAATAAAAAAATAAAAAATATACTACTTATTCTATATATATGCCGGTTAAATCTAACGAAAACATACTGCGAATACTGTTTGTGTTCGAGTGTGATAGAATAAATCCAAGAGATTCGCTTGTCACCACTCAGAGGTCGAAAACTTTGCACTGATTTACCTGGTATAGAATAACCAACGGTCGACTAGGTACAACGAGGGTTCCATCCGAAGGCATTCCACGAATATTAGCACCGGGATCCGGGAATTCCGTACTGACCGCAGTCGTACTGTTCTGATCCCAGCAATCGTGACTCCGACACTTACGATTGATAAACCATTGCGGTAGGGGAAGTCTGACTGTGATTGCTCGACGAAATGTCACATCCGGTAGATCCAGTTCGTAAATATCGGAACATCCTTCGATCTCGCTAAGTTGTGGATCAAACTGCGTCGCTCCTTGTGCCCAGTTGCTTCGAATATCCAACGCCTATGCAATTGACAAATTGTACGTGGATAATTCAATCAAACGTTTCATTAATGCCAAAAAACACATTGAGAACAACAACAGCTCGGCGAACAAGCTCGTCTTCAGTTATTCGTAATCATCCCTCTACACAGTATTAAATACGGCTAACAACAAGAACAAACTGGGGATGAGAGATTCCAGTCCTAATGGTTCAGCTCTGGTTTCAATCATGTGTGTATGTGTGAAATTGATCACAGTGTCAAAATTCTAAATGATTGCATACGTATCGGAGTGGATGCCGTGGACCAGGGGAAGTTAAGCGCTCGCATGAATTTCTGGAGGCATAAGGGGGGGGGGGNATTACTTCGACTTCGGCCGTGGCTAAGATACGATTGCTTCACTGTTCTTGACTACCCAGATCGAACCTTATAAATCGATCGGAACGCGTTTACCACATCCACCAAGTGATTTGACTCAACGAGGTGCGAGCACACCACGCTCATAATTTTGTCCTAAATGCTCCTGTCCTCAGTCAGGCCGGGTGGTGTTCGCGAACGCGATCGGATAAGCCCCTGGTCGTGCTGCCCATGTACCCAGTTCAACAGGAACGGGGGAATAAGTATACACAGTATAAGGCTGCAGAATCTGCACTCTGCCATTCAGTCGGAAACACATAATCAGTTTTGGTGTGAAAACAGCTCTTAATTGTGCAGCCTGAAATGTTCGGCTTACTGAGAGCTTTCTTCGAAAGATTTCCGCCTCCGTATCTCTCTTGAACGTCAGGCAGATTTATTCGCTGCTCCTGTTTCATCTGGCCGTTCCTCATTTTCTAGCACTGCCCTATCGATAAATCATTTGGGGTAAGCATTCTGGGAAAAACAGTTTGTAAGAACTGAAGTTCACTGTCGATGGTATCTACCGTGCCTTACGAACCAAACAACGAATTAGACTTCTCTTCCTCTGAAGAGGAACAAAGCCATGGAATTGGATATACTGTCCATTCCGCGTTGTTATTCAGTACTATTTAATGTTTGTAATGGCATGATTACGAACAACTGAGGACGAGCGTGATCGCCACGATGCTGTTATTGTTCTGAATCACTCAAACAATTGGAAGTGCTCTGGTGAAATTTGGATAATAATATGTTTACTACTGTTTTAATAACTAGTAGTTATACTGGAAGTTAAAAATATTTGACTGGCAATCATGCAGAATTATGCTCATACACAGAGTTCGAAAAAATTATCTTACGGCTGTGGTTGAGTGAAGTCATGGAAATTATGGGACCGAACACCCCAACAGCTGCCAAATTAACGCACTTATTTGTACTTTCTGCTAGTCTTCTTTTAGGTTTCTTCATTTGTCAAAAGAGTGGTTCCATACGTATCTATTTGACAAAACAAGAGAGGACATATAGTGCCAAGTGCTGTTTCATAATTTTCACTGGTAGGTGTGGAAATTTAGAAATAATTACTTGCAGACCTATTACATCACTGATAACGGTATAAGTTATTAGAATATCACACTCCCGAAGACGTCTTCTCTGCTACGGATTAACGTAATGGGATAATAACAAAAAACCTTGGTTGGTTCTACGGTTGAGCATCCTTCACTTCCTTCTCATCATCAGGATAACCACAGTCGTGTAAATGATCGTCATCAGCAGCGACAGCGGTAGCACCACCACCAGCAACAACAACGACATATCTTTCCTCAAGCTGGATGACGTAACTACATTGATATACTGTATGAGAACACAATGCGATCAACAACATTTCAAATTACTTAAAATTGTTCTTAGACAGAGAAGACTACTGTTATTCAGAATAGATTCGTTCCTGACATCAGCATATATTTGCTATCTATTGTATGGACAATTTTTGGTCAAAACTTACTTGATAATTAAATATAACAACCAACCGATGTAAATTACATTTACTGTACTGTACTGACTAAAGTTTATGAATTTTTATCCTCATAAAGAAATGCACAGAGCGATTAGGTAGAGCAGGTGTCTCTCATATTCCGGGTTGGGGTTCAAAAGACGCCGAAACCGCATGAATAAAGATACTGAAGGTCATGGCTGCGAATCGACAGTAATAGCGATCTTCCTGTCACTTCTTATCCGGCCAGAATGCTTGAAATTGTATGTATGCACAGTTGGACCGTGTACTTGGTGTGTAAACCATAGGGGTTCGCTTTCTTTTCCTGTCCCTATAAGTAGGCCCAATCCCTTTCCTTCTTACACATTCTCACTTACCTTGTATGCAATATGAGTTTGGCAGTGATCAGTGAAGTTCGCTTTACCGGATTACACTGTACAAATGGCGATTATGATAATGCTGTTTATGTATCTTGGATAAGCAGTGATTGAGTTATTCTGTCAGGTCACCAGTGCTGGAATGCTTTATTTTCAATGTTTACAACCGTACACTTTCGTGCGGCCGGTTTTGTTAGCTGTCTCATGGCTGCCCATTTGTGTGAAAAGAAAATTGGAATGTTAAAATCAAGGCCGGAATGAAAACAGAGCACTCATGAGGACAAAAGAACCAAATAAATCCAGACGATGTATGATTGTCGTTGTTTCTGATACACGATTTAAAGTAAGAACACTACACATATATTGTCCAGCATATCGGAGGAATTAAGGGCACCATGAGTTTAGGAGATAATCACACGTTCTGTGCACTCACCTTAAAAGCAGCCACACGATTCACCAAACACGATCGTTTCGGAATACGAACAGAAAGAAACGGGTGTAACAGAGGTGATCGATAATAGCCCCCGTTCCGATTCACGTGAAAATTTTCCGCTCTCGATCCGATAACCAGTGCGTAACAGTGATACAAATCCTCTACTGTGATACACACTCCACCACAAAAACTGTCCATACGACGAGTAATGTCTAGGGAATCGTTCTCTTTGACCGGGTGCGTTGTGGCCCGACGAGCGCGTGGCACATTACCACTGAATCGTTTTGTGTTCAGTTGAGGATCTGCATTTTGTGGAACCTCGGCATAGCTTTGATCGGGCCAACGGGAACTCTGTATGACCAATTTCTTCAACTCAATTGGCCAGTTGCTGTGGTGTATTGTTGGTTGGATAACCTGCACGCATTGAGAAGTGAGGGCGGGAGACGGGTGAATGTTTAACGCAAAATGAACTGTGAGTCATTTCGAAACAAGATATTAGTTGAACAATCTAGCTTACTCAATCGACACCAAATCTCGCACAGGAGGATATTGAAATTTTGATAGACTGCTAACTAACCGAACTGGGAGCTTCACTCTATCGGTCACAAGTTTATAATGGATATCTGTTATTCTTTCTCTGAATGGAATTCAC